CTGCCGCTGTGCTGGCACTGCTGGGGTGGCACCGCTGGGGTGGCACTGCTGGGGTGGCACTGCTGGGCTGGCACTGCTGGGCTGGCACTGCTGGGGTGGCACTGCTGGGCTGGCACTGCTGGGCTGGCACTGCTGGGGTGGCACTGCTGGGGTGGCACCGCTGGGGTGACACCACTGGGCTGGCACCACCCCGGCGGGCTCGCGTGGGAGCGGCACGGGGGAAGGACAGATAAAGTGTCATTGTTTCCCTCTGCTCTGCCCCTCGTCACCTCCACTCCGACCCCAACACGCGGGGGATGAAAGTGCTGAGCTGGCCTTTGCTGCTCTGGCAGCGGGCAATGAAAACTCCGCTGGGCAGAGGTTCCCACGCGGGGCTGGCACAGGGAGAGCCGGGACCGCCGGCAGCAGGGAGCTGCTGGGGTGCCCGGGGAGCTGCCGGGGTGCCCAGGGAGCTGCTGGGGTGCCCAGAGTGCTGCTGGGGTGCCCAAGGAGCTGCTGGGGTGCCCAGGGAGCTCCTGCGGTGCCCAGGGAGCTGCTGGGATAGCCAGAGAGGTGCTGGGGTGCCCAAGGATCTGCTAGGGTGCCCAGGGAATTGCTGGGGTGCCCAGAGAGCTGCTGGGGTACCCAAGGAGCTGCTGGGGGGTCCAAGGAGCTGCCGGGGTGCCCAGGGAGCTCCTGCGGTGCCCAGGGAGCTCCTGCGGTGCCCAGGGAGCTGCTGGGGTGCCCAAAGAGATGCTGGGGTGCTCAGAGAGGTGCTGGGGTGCCCAAGGAGCTGCTGGGGTGCCCAAAGAGATGCTGGGGTGCTCAGGGAGCTGCTGGGGTGCCCAGGGAGCTGCTGGGGTGTCCAAGGAGCTGCCGGGGAGCCCAGAGAGCTGCCGGGGTGCCCAAGGAGCTGCTGGGGTGCCAAGGAGCTGCTGGGGTGCCCAAAGAGATGCTGGGGTGCCCAAGGAGCTGCCGGGGTGCCCAGGGAGATACCGGGGTGCCCAGAGAGCTGCTGGGGCAGGGACTGCCCAGCGCACGGCGGTGACAGGAGCCGTCGGGAGAAGCCGTCAGTCTGGAATGCAGCTCCTCACCACAACACACAGCCCCGGCAGTAAAACAAGCGATTAAATGCTCTGATACCTCTGCGGTTTCTGTAAGTCTGGAAAGACAAGTGGAGATTTCTGTCATTAAGGTAACCTCCAGGGCCGGCCCCCACCAGCCCGGAGCTCAGCTCCCCGCCGGGTTTGTCAAACGGGGCGGCAGCTCCTGGCACCCCTTCTGTCTGTTTAGGGCAAAAGCGAGATCAGACAACTGCCCTCATCCCTGGCACGCTCGCTCCCTGGGAAAACAGCCCGGGAGCCTGATGCCAGCCCTGCCGGGGCTCCTCGTGGGCTCTGCCTGACGGGCAGCACCCAGCCCACACCCCTGGGCTTGTCCCCACACCCCGGGTCCATGGGGTTTGTCCCCACACCCCTGGGCTTGTCCCCACACCCCGGGTCCATCGGGTTTGTCCCCACACCCCTGGGCTTGTCCCCACACCCCGTGTCCGGCTGGGGTTTGTCCCCACACTCCGTGTCCTCCTGGGGTTTGTCCCCACACCCCTGGGCTTGTCCCCACAGCCCGTGTCCATCGGGTTTGTCCCCACACCCCTGGGCTTGTCCCCACACCCCGAGTCCATCGGGTTTGTCCCCACAGCCCGTGTCCTGCCGGGGTTTGTCCCCACACCCCTGGGCTTGTCCCCACACCCCGTGTCCATCGGATTTGTGAGCTGCTGGGGTGCCCAAAGAGCTGCTGGGGTGCCCAGAGTGCTGCTGGGGTGCCCAGAGAGCTGCTGGGGTGCCCAGAGAGCTGCTGGGGTGCCCAGGGAGCTGCTGGGGTGCCCAGAGAGCTGCTGGGGTGCCCAGAGAGCTGCTGGGGTGCCCAGGGAGCTGCTGGGGTGCCCAGAGAGCTGCTGGGGTGCCCAGAGAGCTGCTGGGGTGCCCAGGGAGCTGCTGGGGTGCCCAGAGAGCTGCTGGGGTGCCCAAGGAGCTGCTGGGGTGCCCAAAGAGATGCTGGGGTGCTCAGGGAGCTGCTGGGGTGCCCGGGGAGCTGCTGGGGTGCCCAAAGAGATGCTGGGGTGCCCAAGGAGCTGCCGGGGTGCCCAGGGAGATACCGGGGTGCCCAGAGAGCTGCTGGGGCAGGGACTGCCCAGCGCACGGCGGTGACAGGAGCCGTCGGGAGAAGCCGTCAGTCTGGAATGCAGCTCCTCACCACAACACACAGCCCCGGCAGTAAAACAAGCGATTAAATGCTCTGATACCTCTGCGGTTTCTGTAAGTCTGGAAAGACAAGTGGAGATTTCTGTCATTAAGGTAACCTCCAGGGCCGGCCCCCACCAGCCCGGAGCTCAGCTCCCCGCCGGGTTTGTCAAACGGGGCGGCAGCTCCTGGCACCCCTTCTGTCTGTTTAGGGCAAAAGCGAGATCAGACAACTGCCCTCATCCCTGGCACGCTCGCTCCCTGGGAAAACAGCCCGGGAGCCTGATGCCAGCCCTGCCGGGGCTCCTCGTGGGCTCTGCCTGACGGGCAGCACCCAGCCCACACCCCTGGGCTTGTCCCCACAGCCCGGGTCCATGGGGTTTGTCCCCACACCCCTGGGCTTGTCCCCACACCCCGGGTCCATCGGGTTTGTCCCCACACCCCTGGGCTTGTCCCCACACCCCGAGTCCATCGGGTTTGTCCCCACAGCCCGTGTCCTGCCGGGGTTTGTCCCCACACCCCTGGGCTTGTCCCCACACCCCGTGTCCATCGGGTTTGTCCCCACAGCCCGTGTCCTGCCGGGGTTTGTCCCCACAGCCCGTGTCCCTGGGGTTGGTCCCCACAGCCCGTGTCCATCGGGTTTGTCCCCACAGCCCGTGTCCATTGGATTTGTCCCCACAGCCCGTGTCCCTGGGGTTGGTCCCCACCCTGCTCTGCTCTCCGTGGCTCAGGTTTTCCCAGCCCTGCCAGCAGAGCTGCGGCACCTCCAGCCCGTGAGGCACAGCCTCCCCTGCAGAAACCCATCTGCCGCACTTCCCACCTCAGATGCCGCTGCTGCGCCTCTGCTCCCGCCTCGGCTGCGGGACGAGCTCCCTTCAGACGCATCTGCTGCTATTTGTGCAAACACTCTCTTCTCAAAGGCCAACAGAGGGAAGTGTTGGGAACCAAGCACACCCAAACGTCTCGAGGATGGCGCTGGGATTTCAGCTGGGCTGCAGCCACGCACAGCAGGGCTCAGCTCGTGGGGAGATTCCAGCCCCACGAGCTCTGGGTGGCACAAGGAGACCCCTGTGTGCTGCCCGGGGGTCCCAGGGTGACCTGGCCGGCCCTGGGAGGCACTGGCACCGCTGCCCCCTGCCCAGGGGGGAACAGGGCAGGGTGGGAGACACGTCAGGCCTTTCCCAGGCAGCTTCCAGCCAAAGCTTCTGAGTCACAGCAGGAGTGGAAGTGACTCATGAGGAGTCACTGAGGAGGCGACAGCTGACTGCAGGGTCCGGCTGTGACACTCGGCTGCCCGAAGGGACCCAGGGTGACAGCGCTGGGAGGGGAAGCTCAGCACTGGCTGTGAGCAGACTCAGGTGCCTCGTGCTCCCTCCCATTCAGCATTTGCTTTACTCCTTTCAGC